TCTTTTTAGTTGTTTTTTTTTTTTTTTTTTTTTTTTTTGTGAATTTTGGGGCCTTAGCCCATATATTGAAGAAATAAAACATCACAAGTGAAGTTAAGTAAAGTTCCAACCCAGTTGAGCTAAAGAGAACATAGCAAAAGAGGGTGGAAAAAGAAAAACAAAAACCTATACCACCCAAAACTGTCAGAACAAAACAGCAGGTAAGAGCAAAAAAAGTGGCAGAAAAGCTCTAAGGACTCAGGCTTTGGTCCAAGCAAGAAGACCGACAAAAGCCATCATATTTGATCAGAATTCCCCTGGTTGCCTATATGAAGACCCTCCAAGGGGAGGTAGGAGCCACAACGAACATTATTGTCCTTCAAAAAACTAACTCCAGGCAGCAGCGACGAGCCTTCTGGTTGCCATAAAAGCCATCCAGAAAGTTGTATAGATTGCATGGGCAGGAGTTGTATAGATTGCATGCGTCGCTTCTTCGACTCCTTCCACGACTTTCCCTTTCTGTCGGATCGAAAGTTACGACATTTTGATCGGAAGCAAGAACAGGAGCTCGCTGGATGTGCCCTTTGGCGCACTTCTAATGTTAAATCCCGTTAAATCCACCGAACCGAGGGATTTAGTAAAGCCGGGATTTAAGCCGTAAATCCGTCAATCCGGGATTCGGAATCCCGGGATTCAACGCGCGCACAAAAACCATTTGGCTGGATTTAGCGTAAATCCGACTTAAAGACCACGATAAATCTGATACCAAACAGCCCCAAAAAGAAAGGCAGCTCTTAATATTATTAGCAACCCCACTGAGAAATTTCCAATATGGAGAAAGGTGTTTGGTGAGTCCATTCCAGAAGGAATGGTATTTGGCTCTTCTCTCATTTGGAGATTCCTCAACTCGGACAGCTTTTATAGATTCCAAAGTTAAACCTTTTACACTATTTGTAAGTCTAATATCACTGATTTCCTCAAAACCTTTTACTAGTCCAACGCTAAATCTAGAAAGAGAGAATAGGCAAAAGGAAGAACACACCTTCGGCGAGCAGCCTTATCTGTTTCCCACTGGTAGTTGATCGAGTGATGAGAAGAATAAGAAGAAGAAGAGCTCCAACTACGACTTCAAGATCCTCTACAACAGCAGCTCTTCTATGAAAACCACAACAAGAAATCCCCTCTCCCGGTTTCTTCCTCTCGTCTGCCTCCGACACTCGAACTAAAACAGCTCAGCGTCGTAGCCTCTTGCAACCCTTCCCCTTCTTCTCCGCACTGTACCCGATGCAGCCAGCCACTGGTAAGGGGTAAAGAAACAGAGTATTAATTTGAAAGGACAAACTAAAAATAAATAATAAAAAGAGAGCTAAAGCTAAATTAAAATAAGTAATTCTATTCTTTATATTTTAACGACATATTTAAATAAATATATGAGAAATACTAATTTAAAAGATAGAATCCATTTATTCTTCATGGAGTTTGAAAAATAATTTTCGTAACAATTGATATAAACTATAATTAAAAAAAGCACGATTTATTTATAATTAAATTATAAAATTATTATTCATTGAAGAATCAAAAAGTACATTATAAATAAATATGTAATTAAAAAAGGCCTATAAAATTTAACCTAATTTTTATTATTCAGTATTCATAAATCATAGATAATCAACATTATTAAATAATTAAACTAATGGAATATTCATATTTCTTTAAAAAAATTATATCTATAAATTCAAAAGCGCCATTCTAAATTTTTACTGGGAAGGCTTTTGAATAAAAAAAATCTTGTGATTATATATTCATATTTCTTAATAAAAAATTATATCTATAATTTCAATAGAGCAATTCTAAATTTTTAGTGGGATGGCTTTTGAATTAAAAAAATTCATGTGATTATTAAAAAACTAATTAATTATCAATTTTATTGATGGCTGAAGTTATACGTCTATAGTTCTCCATGTCGCCTCTAATCTATTTATTTAGATAACTAAAAGTAAAAAGACTGATTTTGTTAACTTAAAATTGCTATTCTACATGTTAAGAGATTATTTTGTGCGGACGCTGAACGCAGCTTATTGTCTAGAGACCAATTAGAATTCTCCATGTTAGCAGTACCGAGCTTCTCCATGTTTACCGAGCAGGGGGGACGCATTGTCTCTTAATCGAGTTCGGTGTCCGCACAAAATAATTTCACCTACCTATGGGCTGGTTGCTGTAGGCTCATCGAGGGATTACTTATGTCACTAAGCGTCTCTTATGGGATAGCAGTGGGTAGATACCCCAGTTCTCTTTTTTTTATTCTTTTCACAAAACTTAAATAAATTATTAAAAATTATAGATTTTGTTTTGTTTAGTTAGATTTGCATGTACATCAATGGAATTCAAGACTTTTGGTGCCTCTTTGGATTTACATTGGGATATTGACAAACGAATATTACTATACTCCCTAAAAAGAATCTAATAAAAAAATTACATGGGGCTCACTATTCTAGAAGACCCAATCAAAATATATGTTTGATTGAGATATGTTTTTATTGCTTTGCCTAATCAAATGATGATATAACAGATGTTTTTGTTGCTTGGCCAAAATTTTCCTTCCTCATCTTTGTTTTCCTCATGATATTTTCCTTAGTAAGGCTCTCTGTTATGGTTTCTGATTGGTTAATCATTTATGTTGATGAAGGTTCAATAAAGATATAGCAGTACACTTCCATTGAACAAAACTAGAAGTATCATAAACTATATATTTCATCTCTCTCGCTTTGGTTTAAAAGAGCAAAAATCAGTGATCGTTGTATGCATGCCTTTAGGAGAGAAACGTCTGTCAACACTGCCTTGGACATCAGCATAGCTCTCAGTAGTGACAAAGCTTGAACTTTGGTATAAGCAAAATAACGTCAAGTCTAGAAAATAGAAAACACAAACACTACTTGTTAGATAGAGAGTATGTATTAATAGAAATTCTTCATCCTTGGAAGAATTGCACCGGTTCAAATGACTGGTGGTACAAAAATGTATGAAGAATGCATCATTTTTCATAAACATATCGACGGTAGCAACACAAATTAACTAGGAACCATAATAGCTTCCAAAGTATGCGGAGTAGAATTTGTCGAGAAATAAAAGAACTTTTTGAGATAAAACTGGTGAGCTTGTTTTTGTTGGATAGTAGTGCTAACCAAACAAAAAATGAAACGGTTCGAATCCGACAAAAAAGTTTAGATAGTTCAGTCACCAGTTATAATGCTATCTAATTTGCACCACAACTTGAGCATTATGTTATAGACATTTAGTAACTTTTCCGATTCATTGGTTTAGCAGAGAAAATATCAGTTAACACAGTCTTGGAGCTCAGTGTGGCACCCAACAGCGATAAAACCTGCAGTTCAAATAAAAATGGAAGTTGATCAGAAGAACAAATATTGCATAAATACCCAGAAGAAAATGGTTTACCTTGACTTTATCAACGCTAACTTCTTTCTCAACAAGGTCGGAAATTAGAAAGTCTACTCCTTTAATTATGGCAGAAATTGAGGAAATCGGAGAAATTTGAAGGTTGTCAGCAACCATAAACCTTCTTTCATCTTTCACAAAACCTCCACCACAATCACTCCCTCCATTTTTTAACTTTGGATTTTGCTCTATAATTTTTGCCTCACTTAATCCATGCTTGCATGGAGGAGTTAGACGAGATTTTGATCGATTATCTAAATGGCATTTTACGCAACTAGACGAAATGGTCCCTTCAGTTGATGAAATCTCATCCAATTGTAGCATTTGGTCACTACATCCATAGTAGGAAGCAATTTCTGGAAGTATCAACATATTCTTGCATTTTTCTGACTCAAAATAATCTAATTTTAATCTTTTAACTGTGGAATACAAATTGTTAATGCAACCTAAAGATATTTGATCGCCTAGAAGCATGAACACGGAACCTAGAGGAAATGTGAGAAAACTCAAAAGCTGATTGACAAAATCTCCCTCAACTTCCGCATATAAAACATTGTTGTTTTTCTTGTTAAATATAATCTTCACATTCATTTGTTGTTGTTCTTCACCATCATCAATCTTCTCTTTATTCTCCTTTTTAATCTCCTCTTTAATCACTGAAAAGCACTTCACGCTTTGTTCTATACACTCATCAGGGAAGAAAAGCTTTGTCAAAGTACGCTTGGATACCAATGATATCCTCAGCAAGTTCAAAGCCTGAAAAGAAAAAAAAAATAAATTAAAGTAAAATTTCAGCAATTGCACGTTAAACTAAATTCATTTGTTTTTCAAAAATTTATCAATAAGTTACCTCATCATTGCCAACATTTATAACTCTTTCCTCTAACATGTCTGTATTTTTAATTCGTAGCTCCTCCATCAGAGAGAAACCACTCATCAAAGAAATTGGCATCACCCGTAAATTATCAGTTATAATAAAATCAGCTTCATCATTAACAAAGACTCCTCTTTTTTCAACTGTACCTTTTGACCAACTCCAATCCTTACCCATCAGTTTGCCACAACGGCTGCATCGAGCCTTAGTTACATAGGTATAGTAACACGAGGATTGAATTAAGCAATCACTTTCATTGCAAATATAGAAATGTCTTGGATTGACATCATGAATATTTTTAATTTTCAAGTCATCACATATTTCTGCAGCCGCACTTCGAGGTTTGAGAAGCATTTCCTTGCATGCCTCGGATTGCAGGTATTTGACGTCAAGCTGCTCAACGCTCTCATAAAGGTTATCGAGAGATCCCAAATCTGTTTGCTTCTCCAAAAGTCGGACGATGCTTCCTAGGGGAAGAGTAAGGAAGCTAAAAAGGACATTAATGAAATCACTTCCAGCTTCAGCAAACACAACCCGTTTTTGCTCTTTATCAACTAGAAGCCTTAAATTTATATCAGACATGGCGTACTAGGAAGAAAATTTGTGTTGCAAGCCGTCTTCCCTTGATATAACTATGAATAATTATGCCTAAGGTTGGCTTTTTGTAACAAAAGAGATGAAGAATAGTTGCAAAATGCGTAGTTAATGATAACAGACTGACAGTCCCCAGCCTTAACAAATGGGAGTCCGGATCTCTGCATTCAAAATAATCATTGGACAGTGCAACATTAGCCATACAATCTCTTCGTGAATGTCCCGTTTGAAATTTTGCTTCTTTTATACAATTATCATCTTCTTACACGAGAACAAGATCACTTACTAACCATCTAATTTTTACTTAATAAGAAACTTAAACAGTAAAAATAGTAAGCACAGAACTGAAAATAGTAAATAAACAAAGATAAAACAGATAATGCGTTCAGCAACGCGGGTGCCGAAACTCACTAGGAAAAGTTCAAAGTTAGTATTTAGCTTTTATAGATTCCAAAGTTTAACCTTTTACACTATTTGTAAGTCTAATGTCACAGATTTCCTCAAAACCTTTTCCTTGATCCAACGCTAAATCTAGAAAGAGAAAATATGTAAAAGGAAGAACACACCTTCAGCGAGCAGCCTTATCTGTTTCCCACTGGTAGTTGATCGAGTGATGAGAATGAGAAGAAGAAGAGGAGCTCCAACTACGACTTCAAGATCCTCTACAACAGCAGCTCTTCTATGAAAACCAAAACAAGAAACCCCGTTCCCCTTCTTCTCCTTGCCCTTCTCCGCACTGTACCCAATGCAGCCAGCAACTGGTAAGGGGTAAAGAAACAGAGTATTAATTTGAAAGGACAAATTAAAAATAAAAAATTAAAAGAGAGTTAAAGCTAAATTAAAATAAGTAATTTTTTTTTTTTGGGAATTTAAATAAGTAATTCTATTTCTTATATTTTAACAACATATTTAAATAAATATATAAGAAATACAATTTAAAAGATAGGATTCATTCATTCTTCGTGGAGCTAGAAAAATAATTTTCGTATGAACTATAATAAAAAGAGCATGATTTATTTATAATTAAATTATAAATTTATTATTCATTGAAGAATAAAAAAGTACATTAGGAATAAATATGTAATTAAAAAGGCCTATAAAATTCAACCTAGTTTTAATTATTTAGTATTCATAGATGATCAACATTATGAAATAATTAAATTAATGGAATATTCATATTTCTTAATAAAAAATTATATCTATAATTTCAATAGAGCAATTTCTTGTTATTTTTGGTCAAAATACTTTATTATAAATCAATCAAAATACTTCTTTTTTAGGGCAAATTATTCTGTGCGAAGTCTGAACGTCATCTAGAGATCAATAAAAATATGTCATGTCGCCCCAATAATATACCAAGTGGTATAGGACGATTCTTTCGTCCGGTGTCTGCAGAAAATAATCTCTCCTTTTTTGGATTTATGAGATCGCATTAACTTTTTGGAAACAGTCGATCACATATATATAAATGGAAAATTATATTATGCGTATCTATTTGTTCCACTAGCTTCGACTATACTCATAAACTTGTGAGCCTACTCATTTAAAAATATTAAAATAAAATATACTTAAAATACATTAGAATTCGAGATTTTCTTTCATAATGAACGAGCCAGCTTGAAAACTCGTAGAATAAACCTCGAGCTCGAACACGATTATTTAATCAAGCTCAAGCTAAGGGTGACTCGAGCTCGACTCAACTCGTTCACACCCCTAGTAGCAGCATTCACAATCTCATTATCCAATTAGACGAATACATGTTGTTCGATGTAATGATATTCCGGAAAAGCTAATAATTGTAGTTTCCTTCTAATCGGGATTCAATTTTCTATGTGGACGCCTAATGCCGTCCAAAGGCCAACCAGAATGAGCCATATCATTAAATTCTGATTCGTCTTCAGACAGGATTCTATGTCGCACCTCCAAAGAGACTAATTTCTCCTTAATTGGACGTGTAAAAGTTAACAATAAATCATAAGTTTATGCATTTCCTAAAGAAAAGTTATTGAGATGCATGTGCTTCTCTTTGTTCAAAATGAGTGGCAACGGACCAAAATGAAATCCTTCGAATTCTAGAAAACAAATTTTGTTGTTTAATCATCAGTCATAATAAAAGCATTTGTAAAGCCCTTATTATCCAAAGGCTTTAACTTCTTATATATTAATTTGATGACTTATTCAATTTATTACCTCCAAATTTAGAAAATTCTTGGTTCTGCTTGATGATATTCGCTTTCTAAAATAACGTTAAAGTTCTAAAGCGGTGCTTTAAATTGGAATTTAATATTTACAATTAATTATACTTTAATTTTATGTTATTATTTACAATTCCTACGTAATAATATTAGTAATAATTTTTAATTGATGATAGAATTCAAATATGTTTCAATTCTCAGAATTTTCATGTTTTGAATAGAAATATAAAATTATGCAATGAAAACAAAATAAGAAATAATGGACAATTTTTGAATGAGGATAAACATAGTCATATAGATAGAAAAGACTTCAAGAAATTCAAAAATGTTTCTTCAGAAAAAAGGATTCAGGAAAACAGAAACAAAAACACAACAGAATTACGTGGTTCGAGTTCTTGTGAACTCTACATCCACGGGGTAAAATCTCGATCATCTCTTTTTATTCAAATATGAGTGGGAAAAATGAATACAAGAATTATATAACAGAAAAAGAAACTCTCTATGCAAACAGCCAACAACCCGGCTGAAAAGAAAAAAATGTAGAAACAGTAATACAGCTAAAGAGTCCTCAGGCAATAGATCTCTTACAGATCTTTAACAAATAAACAGTAACAAAATGCCTTCAACTTCTTTTACCAAAATCTAAAAGAATTTACGCCAAAGAGAGCAGATTTAGCCGGATATGCCAGAGAACATAGAAACCCTCAAACCGAAAAACAATACTTCAATGCAACCTTTCTTTCTTATCTAAATAGGAAAGATATTACCTGCATGTAAGCAAATAGTCAAGTATTGCAGAAGGATCAAGTCTTGCGGCATGGATTTAGCTTCCAACCGACAACCCCTTTCGGTTGCCTTTCTGGGAGAAGAAAGAAAATAGCAAGAGAGACGAGAGAGATTCACCCACTTCAACACACACAAGAAATCTTATAGATTTCTAAACGCTCTCTTCTTCCTCCTCACACAAGAAGCAAAACCAAAACCCTAACCCTCACTTTGGACGGCTTCCTCACTCTCAACCTGAAAACAGAGAATGGAAATTCTCTCACTCAGGACTTCTCCCTTATCCCTCACTTCAACGAACTTTTATTTGGTCCGGTGAACGTACATAGAGCTACGTTCGGCCGACACTAAGATCGCAGGCACAAAACGAGAAATACCGAGCAATACCAACAATAACGAGAAAAACCATTATGTGAAGACAAAATACCGAGTAATACAGAGCAATACCGAGTAATCCCAAAAAATACCGAGTTTAGTCCAGAAAAACTCGGTATTTTTTGGGATCACTTGGTATTGCTCGGTATTGATCTTCACAGAGCGGTATTCCTCGTTATTACCAAAGAATACCTAGCAATACCGACCAAATACCGAACAAAAACCAAGTAACAATCCTCTGACCGAACGTAGAGCTACGTCCGGTCAAAGGACGTAATAAAAGTTCCACTTCAAGTACCCGAACTTTCTTTTATAGAGAAAAAGACCAACAAGCCCTCATCCAAGAAATAAGAAAGCCTAGTTGATCAAAAGAGCAAAGATTGCATCAATACCTAGAAGAAAACAATATACCTTGGCTTTATCAACGTTTACTTCCTTCTCAACAAGATCGGGAATTAAAAAGTCTATTCCTTTAGTTATGGTAGAAATGGAGGAAATCGGATAAATTTGAAGGTTGTGAGCAACCATAAACCTTCTTTTATCTTTCACAAAACCTCCACCAGAATCACACCCTCCATTTTTTAACTTGGGGTTTTGCTCTATGATTTCTACCTCTCTTAATCCATGATTGCTTGGAGGAGTCAGAGAAGATTTCGATCCATTATCAAAGTTGCATTTTACACAACTAGATAAAAAGATCCCCATAGTTGATGTCATTTCATCAAATTGTAGCATTTGGTCACTACATCTATAGTATGAAGCAATTTTTGAAAGCACCAAGATGTTTTTGCATTTTTCTGACTTAAAAACATTATAAGTTTAATCTTTCAGCTTAGAAATACAAATTGCTAATGCACTCTAAAGATATTTGATCACCTAGAAGTATGAACACGAAAGTTAGAGGAAATGTGAGAAAACTCAACAGCTGATTGACAAAATAAATTCTGCTTATAAAATATTATTGTTTTTCTTGTTAACTATAATCTTCACATTCATTTGTTATTTCTCTTCACCATCATCAATCTCCTCTTTAATTATTGAAAAGCACTTCACACTTTGTTCTATGCACTCATCAATGAAGAAAAACCTTGTCAAAGCACACAGATACCAATGATATCCTCAGCAAATTCAAAGATTGAAAAGAAATATATATATATATACACATACACACATAATAAAATTTCAGCAATTGCACGTTAAACTAAATCTCAATTATTTTTCAAGGATTTATCAATAGGTATGGTAACACGTGGATTGAATCAAACAATCACTTCTATTGCAAATGTAATATATCATTGGATACTCATCATGAATATTTTTAATATTCAAGTCATCACATATTTTTGCAGCCGCACTTCCAGGTTTGAGAAGCATTTCCTTGCATGCCTCAGTCTACAAGTGCTTGACGTCAAGCTGCTCAACGCTTTTATAGAGTATGTCAAAAGATCCCAAACCTGATTGCTTGCCCAAAAGCCGATCGATGCTTCCCAGTGGTAGAGTAAGAAAGCTAAACATGACATCAATGAAATCACTTCCAACTTCGACAAACGCAACCCGCTTTTGCTCTTTATCAACAAGAAGCCTTACACGTATATCAAACATGGAGTACTGGGAAGAAGATTTTTGTTGCAGACCATCTTACCTTGATATAACTATGAAAACTTATGCCTAAGGTTGGATTTTTGTGACAAAAGAGATAAAGAATCGTTATAGGATGCATAGTTAATGATAACAAACTAACAGTCCCCAAGCCTTAACAAATGGGAGTCTGGATCTCTGCATTCAAAATAGTAATTGGACAGTGCAACATTAGCCATACAATCTCTTAGCAAATGTCCCGCTTGAAATTTTGCTGCTTATATACAATTATGATCCTCTTATATGAGAACAAGATCACTTACTAAATTCACTAGGAAAGGTTCAAAGATACTAAAATAGTATTTAGCTTTTATAGATTCTTTTTTTTTTTTTGTGAATTTTGGGGCCTTAGCCAATATATAGAAGTAATAAAACATCACAAGTGAAGTTAAGTACAGTTCCAACCCAGTTGAGCTAAAGAGAACATAGGGAAAGAGGGTGGAAAAAGAAAAACAAAAACCTATACCACCCAAAACTGTAAGAACAAAACAGCAGGTAAGAGCAAAAAAAGTGGCAGCAAAGCTCTAAGGACTCAGGCTTTGGTCCAAGCAAGAAGACCAACAAAAGCCATCATATTTGATCAGAATTCCCCTGGTTGCCTATATGAAGACCCTCCAAGGGGAGGTAGGAGCCACAACGAACATTATTGTCCTTCAAAAAACTAACTCCAGGCAGCACCGACGAGCCTTCTGGTTGCCATAAAAGCCATCCAGAAAGGTGTATAGATTGCATGCGCAGGAGTTGTATAGATTGCATGCGTCGCTTCTTCGACTCCTTCCACGACTTTCCCTTTCTGTAGAATCGAAAGTTACGACATTTTGATCGGAAGCAAGAACAGGAGCTCGCTGGATGTGCCCTTTGGCGCACTTCTAATGTTAAATCCCGTTAAATCCACCGAACCGAGGGATTTAGTAAATCCGGGATTTAAGCCGTAAATCCGTAAATCCGTAAATCCGGGATTTACGGAATCCCGGGATTTAACGCGCGCACAAAAACCGTTTGGCTGGATTTAGCGTAAATCCTACTTAAATCCCACGATAAATCTGATACCAAACAGCCCCTAAAAGAAAGGCAGTTCTTAATATTATTAGCAACCCCACTGAGAAATTTCCAATATGGAGAGGGGTGTTTGGTGAGTCCATTCCAGAAGGAGTGGTATTTGGCTCTTCTCTCATTTGGAGATTCCTCAAGTCGGACAGCTTTTATAGATTCCCAAGGTAAACCTTTTACACTATTTGTAAGTCTAATATCACGGATTTCCTCAAAACCTTTTGCTGGTCCAACACACAATCTAGAAAGAAAGAGAGAGTAGGTAAAAGGAAGAACACACCTTCAGCGAGCAGCCTTATCTGCTTACCACCGGTAGTTGATCGAGTGATGAGAAGAAGAAGAGCTCCAACTACGACTTCAAGATCCTCTACAACAGCAGCTCTTCTATGAAAACCACAACAAGAAACCCCCTCTCCCGGCTTCTTCCTCTCGTCTGCCTCCGACACTCGAACAAAGAACATCTCCAACCGTAGCCTCTTGCAACCCTTCCCCTTCTTCTCCGCACTGTGCCCGATGCAGCCAGCCACTGGTAAGGGGTGCGGTGGCAGTGTCAGCTAGGGCCGCGAGGCAGCGGGCCCGATGCAAGCGGCGACGTGACTCGCGAGTGAACGGAGCGGAGCAATCATGTCGTGTGTGGGGTCGCTGGGTAGAGCCGGGTAGAGCGGGTACGCTGCAACTGCCCGCGCGTGGGGTCGCTAGGCAGGCAAGCAGCCCGGGTACACGCCACACGGGGTCGCTGGGCAGAGCCTGGCAGAGCGTGGCAGCCGGGGCGCGGGGCAGCCTGGCAGACTCGGGCTGAGCCGATTCCTGGTCATTCCGGGTTTTCGGATCAACCCGAACCCGACCCGATTTTGCAAACGGATCGATTTTTTGGACCCAAACCCGACCCACTTCGGGTTCGAGTCAATCCAAACCCGAAATTTTCGGGTCGGGTTTTCGAGTCGGGTCCAATATTGACATGTCTAGATTTTGTTAACTTAAAATTGCTATTCTATATGTGGAGAGATTATTCTGTGCGAACATCAAATGCAACTCATCATCCGGAGACCTACTAGAATGCGCCACGTTTGTAGTACCGAGCGGTACTGAGCCGCGGTACCGAGCAATACCGAGCAGTGTACCAAACAAGGGGTAACGTGAAGCATTCGGTTGATCTTTGGACCACGTTCGGCATCCACACAAAATAATTTCACCTACCTGTGAGGATTAGTTATGCCACTAAACATCTCTTATGAGATAACAGTGTTGTTCCACCAAAAAAAAGTCTTATTCTATGCTATTACACATTCAATTTGATTATATCAATTTATAAAAATATATATTTTTTGCTTGTTATTTTTGGTCAAAATACTTAAAAAGGGAACTTGTAGAGTGCATGAGAGCTAGAACTTGTACAATGCTCTTTCGCAATTAAATAATAAATGTTTGCCAATGAAGTTAAAAGCGGAAGTTACTTTAGAGTTTGTCTTAAATAAAGGGAAAAAAAATTGTATATGCTACAGTTGGGCCGGATTTTCGCAATCAACTGTTGAGCTTTCTCAACTCTTCTATCGGCTATGTTTTTAAAAATATAAAGTTGTTAACAAGTTTAAAAATTATATCACAATTTATTATATAATGTAATTCTTTATTATTTTTTCTTATAATTTTTCATATTTTTAATAATAAATCATAATCATTTTCTCTTTTTCATAATAAACGAGCTAGCTTGAAAACTCGCAGAATAAAGCTCGAGCGCAAACTCGATTATTTAATCAAGCTCAAGCTAGAGGTGACTTGAGCTCGACTCGACTTGCTTACACCTGTAGCCGCAGCATTCACAATCTCATTATCCAATTAGACTGAAGCTTGTCATTCGACATAATGATATTCCGGAATTATAGTTGTCTACTAATCAGGATTAATTTTCTGTGCGGACGTCAAATGTAGTTCCGAAGCCAGTCAAAATGCATCACGTCAGCGCTTTCTGGTTGGTCTCCGGACGGAGTTCTACGTCCGGCCTCCACATAGAATAATTTCTCCTTAATCGGAGTTGTAAAAGTCAACAATAAATTATAAGTTTAGGTATTTTCTAAAGATAAATAACTGAGGTGTATGTGCTTCTCTTTGTTGAAAATGAGTTTCAACATACCAAAATGAAATGATTTGAATTCTGGAAAAAAAAAGCTTTGTTTAATCATCCATGAGTCATGATAAAAGCATGTATCTTAATGTTCTACATATAGTGGCATCAGTTCCGCTTCTTCAGCTTAGGAGCGAAAACATCAGTTAAAACAATCTTGGATATCAGCATCACACCCAACAACGACAAAACCTGCGTTCCGAATAAGAAGAGAGCAGCTAATCAAAATTGCAAACATTAAATAATTATTAGAACACAAGTAATTGGGAAAACAATGAATAGAAGAGAATTTGCCTTAGCCTTATCAACGACTATTTCTTTCTCAACAACATCGAAAATGAGAAAGTCTTTTCCTTTAATTATTAAGTGGGAAATGGATGATATGGGAGAAATGTAAAGGTTATTAGCAACCATAAATCATTTTGAGTTTTCCACAAAACCTCCATCAGATTCACTCCCTCTGTTTTGCAACTTGGTGTTTTGTTCCATGACTTGTGCCTTACTTAATCCATACTTGCACGGAGTAGACCAACAACATTTCAACCCATCCTCATAACACTTTATGCAGCTCGCCGAACAGGTCCCCTTAGCTGATGGCATTTCAACCAATTTTAGCATTTGCTTTCAGCATCCATAGTGGGAGGCAAGTTGTGGAAACACCAACATGTTTTTGCATTCTTTTGACTTGAACCATACTAAGCCCAAACTTTATGTTAAGGAATACAAATTGCGGATGCAACTCTCTAATGATATGTGATCGCGGACTAGTCCCAACACCGAGCCTAAAGGAAATGCGAGGAAACTCAGCAACTGATTGAGGAAGTCTCCCCCAACTTCAGCAAATAAAACATTGTTGTTTTTCTTGTTTAATATGATGTTCACATTAAATTTATGTTCTGACTTGCTACCGACAATCTCCTCTTTAATCACTGGGAAGCACTTCCCACTTGGTTCTAAGCATGAATCAGGGAAGAAAACCTCCGTCAATGCATGTTTGGATTCTAATAACCTCCTCAGTAAATTTAAAGCCTGAAAAGAGAAAAAAAAATTCAATATATAAAATTTTAGCAATTGCAAATTAAACTAATTTAAGTTATTTTCTAGCATTCAACAAATGCGTTAATTACCTCTTCATTGCCAATTTTTATAACCCTTTCCTCTAAGATGTCTGCATCATTAATTCCTAGCTCCTCAAGCACGGAGAAATCACTCATCAAAGAATTTGACATCACCCGTAAATCATCAGTTTTAATAAAATCAGCTCCGGCATTAAAAAAGACCCCTCTTTTCTATTGTATATTTAAGTCAAATCAAAGATTTATCCATCACTTTGTCACAACGGCTGCATCGAGTCTTAGTTACATAGGTACAGTAACATTAAAACAATTACCTTCATTGCAAATGAAGCAATATCTTGGATTGACATCATAGATATTTTTAATCTTCAAGTCCTCACATATTTTTGCAATCGCACTTCGAGGTTTTAGAAGCATTTCCTTGCATGCCTCTATCTGCAAGTGCTTGACGTCAAGCTGCTCAACGCTCTTATAAAGGTTGTCAAGAGATCTCAAACCCGACTGCTTGCCCAAAAGCTGGACAATGCTTCATAGTGGCAGAATAAGGAAGCTAAACATGACATCAATGAAATCACTTCTAGCTTCGGCATACACAACCCGCTTTTTCTTTTTATGAATTAGAAGCCTTATACTTATCTCAGGCATGGCGTAATGGGAAGAAAGGTCTATTATGTGCTGCAGTTTGATTGCTCTTGCCTCCACTTATAATAGAGAAACCAGCCTTAGGCTGATGTGTTTCCGTGCTAAAAGAGATGGGAGTGCGGAAGCGACGATTTGCAATAACAGGATCGGTCATAAATGAAAAGACACATTAACCGTCAAGTTGACCTTTGGGAGCCCGCATCCTCCATTCAAAATGCTTAAAAACTCCTCAGCAATCAGCAACCTCTTTAAGGCTTCGTTTATTTTTTTTGTATTTTTTTAAAAGACAGTTTTAAAAAACATTAATTCAGAAAATGGAGTTTTCTAACGGAGAAGCACATATAAAAAGCTTTCTCAAAACTGCAGAAAAATGAAAAAAAAAGGAGTTATTGGGAACGTGATTTGACGAACCAAACAACACAAAAAAAAAATCATCCGTTTTCGAAAACGGAGAAGGCAAAAAAAAAAACGCTCAAACAAACAAAGCCTAAGAGTGTTGAGGGTTGTGTTGTCGATTTTTGGATGCAATAACTGATTCATAATAACGAAGAAGTGCAAATAGCCACATAAAGAAAGGAAACGGAGGAAACTTCATTGGATGATTCAAACGTTTATTATTTATATATATAATTATTTGAGAAAAATTAATTTCTCTTAGTTATCATTACTTGTTAGTTTATAAAACAATCATTTCATTATGTTAATATATATTGTCTTAGTAAAGATTCTTATGTTAGCTATCTGATCTTTGAATTAATTAAATTTTTTTAATTGAAAATTTCTAATTAAATTTAGGATCATCCAAAATTAAATTTCAACAAATTTAGTGATACGTCATAACAAAATTAGCTTGATCGGGCACGAATCTCGAGGCAAAAGCTAGTTCGAAACTTCAAAAATTAATTTTGGGAGCCCCCGAACTCCGATTTCAGCGAGCTTACAGTCAAACTGAGCGTCTCAAAAATGCGAATCCAAAGACACCAAATTCGATCCAAACCGAGCCCAAATGAGTCCGAATCAAGGGTTCAAAGCGCTGTTGGAAGGTTCAAACCTCAATTTGAGTTACCAAACGGTCTCTGATTTTGACGAACTTATACTCGAATCGAACGGCTCGACGAGACGAATCCAACGAGCCCAAGATCGCCGAATTCCGACATTATTAAGGCCTTCAAATGCCCAACGAACGGTGCATGATCAAAGGATTCAATATTGGCCGTCCATTCAAAACACTCCCAATTCGCCCACGATCTCACGTCTAGTTACGGACTATGCCACTCCAGAAAAACTATAAATAGAGCCCTCGTTCTACATCAAAGGAACTGAATAGAAGAGAAGAAGAAGAGAAGAAGGAGGAGAAGGAAGAAGCTCCTCCTCGACCACCGCCGGAGCTCTTCTTGCCGCCTGAAGACGCCGGAACTCTGCCAGATTTTCGGGAAACGCCGGGAATTTGCAGAACTTTGTAAACTTTCTGGAAGAAACAAATTTTATTCTGATTGTCCCGACTTGTGGGACGAATCAGCCATTTGTAATCTGCAAAAACACTAGTGGAACTTTACAACTGGGCGAGGACCCGTGGTTTTTTCCCTTTTTGGGTTTTCCACGTAAAAACCCTGGTGTTCATTCTCTTTTCTGTTTGTGTGCTGAGTACTCGTGCAATGCTAAGACGAATAT